TCTTAAAATGATATTTTTAAAAGAGCTGATAAGGGTAAAAGAATATAATAGAAAGAAATAAAATAGAATCTCTTATATATTTAAATTAATGTTAATTATTAATAGATATTATATTAAAATATTATTTTTAATTCTTAATATTAAAATATATAATATAATATTAGATAGGATATAGCTTACTAAATATAATATCTTAGTAGATTATTAAAACTAATAATTAATTTAGTTTAAAGATATCTTTCTAAAAGATTAGATTATAAAAATTAATTATTATATAATTTCTAAGGCTATTTTGCAATGATTAAAGGATATTAATCTATAGTATTAAAAAAATATAATATACTATAATTACTTTATAGAAATAGAGGATTAGATAATAGAAAAATTTAATCTAAACTACTTTTAGATCTAGAGTCTAAAAGCAAAAAATCTTGCTAATTAATTAAAAGCCTTAAAATTTAACTTTTTATATATAGAGAAATTAGTTAATTAATTAAAAAAGAAAGAAATCTAATTAAATATCTTTTTATCTTTACTTAAAAAAGCTATTCTAATTATATAGGACTATATATATTAATAAAATTATTAGAAATTATTTAAAAAAATGAGAAAGGTTTTAATTAAAGCTTTAAAAGAAGAAATAAAGAATAAGTTAAAGAAAGAATTTCTAGATATAAAATAAGAATAAGTATATTAAGAGAAAGTCTAAGAAATATTAAAGAAAATAAATATAATATTTATTAGTATAATAAGATTTAATATAAATACTAGAATAAAGGATTTAGTCTTATTAATAATAAATCTTTATAAGATTAATAGTATTATTAAAGTAAAAAAAAAATCTACTAGAATCTATAATACTTAATATTAAAGAAATCTAGAAATAATTACTAGAGGTATATAGAGATTATATAGATATATTTTTAAAGGATTTATTAGATTAGTTATTAACTCTTAAATTTTATGATTATAAGATTGAACTGATTAAAAAGAATATATTAAAATATAGCCCTTTCTATAAAATAATCTTAAAAGAATTAGAAATAATATATAAATATATTCTTAATAATCTTTATAAAGAATTTATTAAATTAAATAATACCCTCTTTATATTACCAATCTTAATAGTTAATAAATTTAAAAAAAAAATATAATTTTATATTAATTACTAAAAATTAAATATTATAATTAAAAAGAACTAATATTCTCTACTCTTAATTAATAAAATTCTTAATTAAATTAATAAAGTATAGATTTTTACTAAACTAGACATTTAGTAAGGTTTTTATTAAATAAGAATACATTTTAATTTAGAAGATTTAACTATCTTTTATATATAATATAATATATACAAATATAAAATAATACTCTTTAGAGTAATAAATAGATTAATAACATTTTAATATATAATTAATAATATTTTTATAGATGTACTTAATAGATTCATGATAATCTTTATAAATGACTTATTGATTTATAGTAAAAATAAACTTAAGCATCAAATATATATTAAGAAAATATTTTAATATTTTTAGAAGATAAGATTATAAATGGTACTTTATAAATATAAATTTTATATTAAGTAAACTAAGTTTCTTAGATTTATTATTATACTAAATAACATTAAAATTAACTTTAAAAAGATTAAAGCTATTTAAAAATAAAAATCTTTAATAAATATAAAAAGAATATAATCATTTTTAAGATTTTATAATTTCTATTACATCTTTATTAAATATTATAATAAGATATTATAATTATTTAATTAACTAATTTAGAAAGAAATATTCTTTACATAAAATAATACTTATAAAGTGATATTTTAAGAATTTAAGAAAAAATTAATATTAGCTTTAATTCTTAAGTATTATTAATATAATTTAGAAATATAATTAGAAATTAATATTTTAAGAGAAGTTATTATAATAATATTATCTTAATAATATATTAATAATAAGTAGTATTTAGTAGTCTATTTTTTTAAAATAATAGATTTTATATAAGCTAAATATAATATTTATAATTAAGAAATGCTAGTAATAGTATAAGCTTTAAAAATATAATAAGCTAAGCTTTAAGGATTAATTAACAATAAATCTATTTAAATTCTTACTAATTACTAAGCTTTAGAATATTTTATAATAATAAAAAAGTTTAATAATAGATAAGTATAATAATAAAAAATCCTTTCTAGATATAGTTTTTATATTAAATATTAATCTAAACCTTTAAATAAAAGAGCTAATATTTTAACTTAATATATAAAGAATAACTAATAATCTAAAAAAAAAAATTTTTTATTATTACTCTCTAACTAACTTAATCTTTAGATTATAAAGAAACTCTAAGAATAGAATTATATATAGAAAATAAAATCTAAATTAGAAATCTTAATTATTATAGATAATATATTATATATTATTACTAGAATCCTAAAGAGTAATTAAAAGAGTTAAAAGATTATAAAATATTATAAGATAGCTAGAGATTTTAGATTTAACTAAGATTTAATTAATAATTAATTAATATTTAAAAGGAGATTTTATATACTAGATAAAGAAGATCTTAAAATATAATTATTAGATAAAATATACTAATAATCTACTATTATTTATTCTAAAAAGAATAAGGTAAAGAAGCTATTAAAAAAATAATATTATTAAAAGATATAGAACTAAGATATTAAATGGTATATTAATAACTATCTTATATATAAGAGAATAAATATATATAAAGATTTATTATTAAAATTACTAAAATTACTGCCTATATTTATTTAATTATAGTAATATATATTAATAGACTTTATATCTTATCTAGAGAATAAGTATAATTTTAATATAGTCTTTATAGTAATAGACTAACTAAATAAAAAATTAAGATTAATTCTTTGTATTAAGAATATTATAACTAGGGAGATAGCTAGATTATAGATTAGATATATATTTTCTAAAACTAGTCTACTAGATTTAATAGTATTAGATTAAGAGGGATAATTTATATTAGAATTCTAAATAGAAATATATTATATTTTAAAGATTAAATTAAAGCTATTAATAGTACATTATATATTTATAGATAAGTAAATTAAAATTATAAATTAATATTTTTTAATCTATCTATAATTTTATATTAGCTTCTATTAAGATAATTAGTCTAAATAGTTATTAATAGTAAACTTTATTATAGTATTTTTATTCTAGAAATTAACTAGACTATTGCTATTTAAGATTGAGAGAGGTTTTATATTAAAGATATTATTTAATTAATTATTATTAAATAATAAGAATCTTATATGAAATTAGAAATAAGTCTAAATCTAGATAAAATATTTATAATAGATATAAGATTATATAAGACAGAATGTAATATAAGTATAGGAATAATAAAAAATATAGATGAATAAATATTAATAAGAGATAGATTTTAATATTAGAGATAAGATTATATTAATAATTAAGTATTTTAATAATAAATAATCTAGCTAGAAGCTTTCTTATTAGAATTTAGGCCTATTTAAGATTAATAATTAAAGAAAGAAAATATATTTAAGTTAAAGCTCTCTAAATATTTTTAAATATATTTAGTTTTTTTATTAGATAAACTTTGAAAGGTATATTTAATAGAATTATTATTAAAATAGATTAAGGACCCTTTATTACTAATTAAGATTAATAATTATAATAAATAGAAAGTTGAATAGATTCTTAATATATAAATATATTATTAGAAACTGCAGTACTATATTTAATAATAAGACTATAATAATAATATAATATAATATCTAGTAGGAAATTTTAAAAATGTATTAAATATTATAAAAATATTCTATAATTCTTATCTAGAAAAACCTAGATTATTATTATATTTCAAGAATTAGCTATATACAGCTAAGAAGAATAAATTTTTATTTAATTATAATAAAGATAATATACTATTATTAACTTAATATTTAGGATAAATATTACTTAAAATAGAGAATAATATGATAATCTAGTATAATTTAATTTAATAGTATATAGTTATTATAAAAATATTTATAGGCTATCTTCTATGGATAAATTATATATAAGGAAGATATGAGGTTAAATATATTTTATAAAAATTACCTTATATTTTAATTTATATTATAGATTATTAGAGGATCTATATGATATTAAGAAGGATAAATAGTTTTTATTAGCTAGTATTCTATATTATTGGAATCTTCTAGAAATCTAGATTATTAGGTATTGATATATAATAAAGATAGCTTATAGGTATCTAGAATGGAAGGAAGTATAAGTAGAAGGAAGGGGGCTAGTAATTGTTCTTTCCTTTTCTTCTCTCTAGTTTAGTCTCTTCGTGTTTAGCGACCAAATAGATTTGGCATTGCATCGTCACACTAGATAAAGAAAATCTTAGAGTATAATTATTAAATAAAATATACTAACAACCTACTATCACTCATCTTAGAAGAAATAAGATAAAAAAAATAATTAAGAAAATAATATTATTAGAAAACTTGAGTCACCACTCGTATTTTTAGGCTTCTTACCATTTCCTCTCTTGTACTTTACATCGCATGTCTACTTACTAAATAGAATTTTAGTCTATACATACAGAGTAGCCATAATGCTTTTTGGTCGACGCTATGCGAAATGTGATAGTGCGCCTTTACGATTTTCTCATCTTCAGCTGCTCCGTGACGCTGTTGGTGGACTGCACTGACTCCGACCACACTTTTTCCAGGTGTATCAAATTTCCAGGAGTGAAAACTTGGACAACTCCTGCTGAAGTAGAAATTGCGTAGGGAGGGCCTGCAAACGTAATTTCGTCTTTGCAGCTCGCTATAAGAAGGCTCTAACACGAATTCTTGCTAAAGTTTCATTTATTTATACATTAATCACTCGTCTATTTCTACAGCATCATTGTCATTTTTAGTCTTGTGCGTGTCAACTTGGAGAGGAACTTGTATAATTTGTAAGATATATGTTATATGCAGTGTTGATTTGAGTTTTTCAGCCTCGCATTATTACCTCAGATCCTAAGGGTCTCTTGATGTGATGAGCCTGAATTTGCGATTGCTGGAATGCTAATTCCGGCGGCGATTCGTCATTATCAGTGGAAGTCCGCAACCATACGAGAATGTCTTCAACACGGCGTACGGCAGTGTCGCGGTTTATCGTATCTTTTGGATTGAAGTCATCATCAGGATCCGGGTAGTCTTGCGCTTCGGCGGCGCCACTCATGGCTACAATCCGCTGGAGATGCCATTGCATTTCGAGAAGTGGCCAACTTGGCAGTGGCAATCGATCGGGATCAGGGGTAGTTAGAGTGAAAGTGTCACCAGAAACAACAGCTTTATACTCTGGCTCCCCATTATCCTTATATGTGCCAGTCGGAATTGAAAAGGGATACCCCTGGTCACCATACAGCCCACGAGTAGACTTGGGCTCTGTTAGGAGTTTAATTTCGGTTGCCCCATCCGATGACTTTCTTTGCCAGTAAAATTGAACTTTCAGTGTCTTAGAATCAGTTTTCTCCATTGGGCGAAGAGCAAAGCGGCCAGCTCCCCACATTGCATGTGGGTGTTTGCTGAGACTTAACATATTGAAGCACGTATCCCGAGGGTTCTGTAAGTCCAGTTCATCACCAAATATCTCTTTTTGCCATTGCTCAACACGACTGTCCTCCCAAAATACCTTCATGATGTCCCAGAATCTTCCCACTGCTGTTGGTTCACGAGCAGAGGCTTTGATAAGGCAGTATGGGTATATATGAGCAGCATCTGGCTCTGCTTGCCCAGTTAGAACACACTTGTGATTGTCTCGCTTCTTACACTATTCAAGACATTAGCAAGGCCCGAACGAGTATATGCCAAATAACGAACATTACTGATTGCTGTATTGGAGCGCTGCGAATTGTTTGTACTGGAGGCTGAACTCTTGCTAGCACTTATGTTTTGGAGCCCTGAGGAAGAGTTAGTTTCAGAAAACTTGTTGAGTGAGTAAAGTATGTAAAACTAACATCGAGCAATTACCATATCGCAATCTTTAATTGTTGGCTCTAGAACAAGTTCCGATAATGCACGATCTTGAATCGGCTCTACCAGAGCGATGAGTCTTTCTAGTTTGGACACGTCGGCAACCTGGCAGAATGCCCAGAACCCAGGGGGGACTGTGTCTCTGCCAGTTTTTTCTTTAATGACTGCTTCGAAGCGACCTAGAACATCCGTCCGAATATCTGACCGCTCATTCCAGCACTCGTTGCCAATATCAGACAGTGGCATGAGGAGTGTAGGCTCGAACCGTGAGGACATGGTGTAGGTATAGCGACTCGAGTGAGATAAACTTTCAGTAGCGTCATAAGTAGAGAATAATCAAGGCCACCGTTCATAGGCGTGCATAGTAACCGCTTTTGTTGATACGGCAGTGGGAGATGATAAGATCAATAGAAAAGACAGGCAGAGCAGGGTATAGCGGCACTGTTCCGGTTTGAGAGGTTGTCTAAAACCGGGGTGTGGGGGAGGCGGAAATCACTCGCGGTTGACGCGAGGTGTCAAGGTGATGTCTAGGGCTAGTCCCAATACAGAAGGCGGTCTGTTGACAGCATGGGATGTTGCATACCCTAAAGTTACCGAACTTTCAAATTTGACGCGCCATGCCCGAAACGGCTGACGCTAAACGCGTGTTACGAAACCAACCTGCATGATACTAGGCAGAAACTAGTACTATCAAGGGAAGGTGCTTAGTTAAAGCAGCTAACACCATGACCAGTCATTCACACGCACTAACACGCAAAGCGGTCACTAAACATACAGGCTTACAACTGACATAAGGAAACACGTGACCAGTATACACCATGGTATATATCATAGAATATAGGGGAAGTATATATAGCACTAAGCAGGATTATTAGATATATAATTAGGTATACACCCTAAGATATAGGGCGAGTATAGGGAGTACCAACTATATAATGTTATGAAACGACATGCATGACACTAGGTGTCACGCGCCTGGATCCACCTTGTTGTCACTGGTTGTGTCAAGGTATGATACGATGGTTGAACCACACAAAGGTTCACGAAAGTAACTTATCAATAAGATCAGACATAGTTTAGATTAATTAATAATAAAGATTAGTTAATTATAATTAAAGTAGAAGAAATATCTTAAAATATTATAATATTTTAAATAAATTTGCCTTATTGACCCTCTTAGTATATAATTAAATAACTTAGGTTAAAGAGCTATACTAAGTAGAAACTAAGTATAGGAATAAGTATATTTATATAGTTAATATCTTCTATACTTATTCTATATCTTAAGGTATATACCTAATTATATATTTAATAGTTCTGCTTAGCACTATATATATCTTTCCTATATTCTATAGTATATACTATGATATATATTAATTATATGTTTCTTATATTAGTTATAAGCCTATATATTTAATAACTACTTTATATATTAATATATATGAATAACTAATTATAATATTAACTGCTTTAACTAAGCATCTTTTTTTAATAATACTAGTTTCTATCTAGTATTATATAAATTAATTTTATAATATCACTTTCTTCTTTTAAGACCTTTATCTCTAAAGATATAAATAAAAAGGCTTACCCTTATTCCTAATATAATCCTATTTTCTTTATAGGTAAGTATTTAAAATATATTAATATATCTATCTCTAATCATCTTATATATTATATTACCTAGACTAATTTTATTTAAAAGAATAATCTTCTCTCTAATTCTCTATATAAATATTATTCATCTTAAAATAAAGTATATATTATAAATTCTAAAAGCTATAATTATATCTTATATACTTATTATAGTTATAAATATAAAAAATATTTTTATAGTTTAAAAGAATAGTCACTTCTTAAAAAAGAATAAGCTAAATTAAAATCTAATCTCAAATTAGCTAAGCTTTAGTTAAAATAATATATAGTAATATAATAAAAGTTATTTATTAAGATTTATTATATTCAAAAATAATAAAAGTTTCTTAAAGAATATAATAATAAAATATTAGATTATAATATAAATATTATAAATATTCTTAATAAGAAAGATCTTAAAGATTTTATTCTAACTCCTTTAAATAAACAGTATCTTAATACTACCATATTCTTTTTTAATATTAAAATATTATTTATTAATCCTAAATTATTTCTACTAGATATACTCTTATTCTAGGATTTTCTTTTCTTAGATTCTAATATTAATAAAACTCTTAAATTGCCTCTCTTACTCTAATAAGATTTTTAATAACTTCCTAAATACTTTCTAATTTATTATATTTTTTCTATTTTATTAAATACCTTTTATAGTTTTCTAATATTTTAGTTACTAATATTTTTTTAATCTTATAAATTTCTTATTTAATAATAATATTAATTTATATTTTTGCATTTTATAATATTAATTTTAATGAAAATATATAGAATATAGAATAAATTTTTATAAAATCTAATAATTTAAATTTATAATTAACTTCTTTAATTTTTTTTTTTAATTTTAAATAATCCTAATTATAAATAGTCAAGTTTATTACTTTTTTATAGTATTTATAAATTTTTTTAAGAAAAATAGATCTTCTCTCTCTTTATAAAGTTAGATCTCTTCTAATTTTTATGATTATATCTTTCTATATTAATTTATTTTTTATACTCTATTTCTTATTACAAGTAGAGATATATAGCCTTTATATTATTAATTATTCTTTCTATAGTTTCTACTACTAGCTAATTATAATATAATTATTCTAACATTCTTACTTCTTTTCTGATATATACTATAAATAGTGTTATTTTTGTTATAGATTACTTACTTACTTATATTATATACTAGTTATATTATTAGAAATAATTCTATTTAATTATCTTATTAAATAATTTATATAATTTTATAAATATTATTTAAATATCTAATTTATTTATTCTATTTATCTATTAGTTTATAGGTGATAAACTAAATCTAATTATTATTCTTCTTCTATTAAATCTATTATAGATTTTTATAGTTATAATATAAATACTAATCCTTTATCTAATATTATAATTTCTAATATACCATAATGTTAAAATACTTATTATAATAATATTTTAGCTAATAATAATACATCTATTTTTTCTATTATTAATATAAAATATATATATTTTATTATTCTATCTATTATTATTAAGATTAAGTCATATCCTTCTAACTTTAATAATTTTATAATAAAATCTATTGTTACTTATTACTATAAATATTCTAATATCTATAATAATTATATTTATCTATATAATTTATATCTTATAATCTTATTCTTTTAGCACATATTATATTTCTTAATATAATTATATATTATTTTATATATATTTAGCTAATAGTAATTTCTTAATATTTTTTTTAATATATTATTAATTTTTAGATATTCTACTGTTAATTTATTATAATATATTTTAATAACTTTTTCTTTAACTGTTTTTAGTATATAAATTAAACTATACCAAAATATAAGTTTATTTTATTAATAATTATTTTTTTATATTCCTTTTCTTATTATATATTATTTAATATCTCTTAAATAATTTTATTATTTATTATTTTCTTAATAAATCTTATAACTCTAAGTTAATATTATATTTTATTATTACTGCTAAAATAACAATTTATAAATTATATTCTAGATTTCCATTTTCCATTTTCTTAAATAATATAGATTCTAATATTTATATTCCTTCTTTATAATCTAATCATTTACTAAATACATTTACTTATTTATTATTTTTTCTTTATAATATTTAATTATAAACTAATATATATTTATAATAATATTTCTAATTATCTTACTTATCTTTTTATTAATACTTTAATTAATAGAAAGTAAATAAGATTTTTATAATCTATAATAATTTATATAGAAAACTTAATTTCTTTTAGATATATTCTTTAATATTATAATATTATTATTATTACTAGTAATTCTTTATTATATATATTATAGTTTAATTCTACATTAATTATCTTTCTTAAATAATATATAATTACTTTTTATTTTCCATCTTATCTTTCTTATATTATTATTACTCTAATAATATAATTAGATATATTAATTTCTAATATTATTAGCTTATTATTATTAAACTATACTAATATAAATATAATTATTAAATAATATTTTACTTTTTTAAAGACTTTTTCCTATTCTTTTATTTATTTATATCTAACATCCTTTTTAAGCAATCTAAATATAGATACTATAATATTTATATATCTTTTAATATATCTCTAATAATAGTTAATTATTCTAATAAATAATTATAGTTCTTTAATATTTCTTAATATAGATTAGTCTCTTACTATTTATATTTTTTTTATTTATTTATATTCCTTCTTATATAATTTAATATTCTAAAAAATTAATTTTTTATATATAGAATTTATATTTTTCTAATTTTATTTATAGTTTTACTATCTTTAAATTTTATAATATTATCTTAATATACTTAATATAATTTTTTAAACTATTTAAAAATATTATAATATTATTAAGATAAGCAATAGTAAAATTATATAGATAATCTTTAATAATTAAATTAATATATCTTTAAAATACTGCTAGTATATTAGTTAATTTAAATAATATAACTAGATATTTATAATATTTATATTTTATTTTAAATATTATTTTCTATTCTTTTTCTTTCTTAATTCTTAAATAATTATATATATTAATAATATTAAATTTAATAAATTATTTCTTTTCTTAAATTTTATCTTATATTTCAATAATTAATAATAAAAAATAAATATTTTTAATTATAATATTATTAAACTATTTATAGTTAATATATAATTATAATTTTATTATTTTCTTTTTTAATATAAATAATACCAGATATTCTATTAGTAATATTAATAATTATATATATTTTTTTTCTAATATATTATTAATATATTTTTTTAAAGCCCTATCCTTTAATTCTAATATTTAATATATTTTTTATAATTTTAATTTCTTACTTTTTAGGAATAAAATAATATAATTTTATTTATTATACTCTAGCAATACTTTATATATTTTATTAAATAAACTTCTAAATCTTTTATATTTTTTAAATAACTTATTTTTCTTCTAGTTAATATCTTTAAAACTTTATTTCTTTTTTATAATCTTAATAATAATTTAATATTATACTTTTAATTTATTAAATAATTTATTTTAAAATAAGATTTTTACTTATTTCTTACTTAAAATAATTCTTTATTTTACTAGCTCTTTTTCTAGCTTAGTAGTTTTTATAAATATTAA